TTATTACAGAATTTGCACGCGTAAATCCCGGAGAACGCTATCTTGTGTTTATAAGATCTTTGCTCTAAATTAACTTTCTCGTTGGTGGCGCTGTCCAGAATGAGAAAAATAATAAAAAATAAGAGACTTGTGGCAAGTCTATTTGTCAGGTAGTATGGTCAAAGATACTAGAAATACAAGAGAGTTCTCGCATTGTAAAAATGAGGCGGAAGTCGTGCCCAACATAGGCGGCACCCTTCTTTTTAACCATGCAAGTTCAAGTTTCCTATACTTCGTGCCCAACATACAGGGCGCCCTTTTGTTGCTAAGTATATCCAGACGCAAAAGGCGCCCTTCCTTTTCCACTAATTGATAATAAAATACGCGACGACTTGATAACGAAAGTTTGGCACAAGTTTTTTTAGTTCCAGCTGTAGGGGGCGTCCCATTTTTCGTATTCCCACCATGCATTTTGGTGGAACACGGTGGAACACTTTTTTTGTGTGGAGAACTCTATCTTGTATTTCTAGTATCTTTGGTATGGTGGTGTTATTTCCAGTGTGGTCTGACCTCATCTCGGTATAAAGGTTGAAGTGCACCTGCGCCATCTACTGTTCGTCTCCTGGGGCCTGCTTGTTTTTAGTTGCATCTTGTATTATGTTACAAATAAATGTATAAGTTCATGTCCTCCAATATTCCGATTCATGTTGTCCGGAGTAGATGACGCGGTGCACTTCAACCTTTACAACACTGAGGTGGAATCAGACAAAACGGGAAATAATAGTGTGTAGTTGTCAATAAAATTCATCTTCATTTTATAGGGCTGTCTGTATATTCCTAAATTTTCAGAAGACTGCTGTTCTCGTTCTGGATGATTTCTATGCTGTTTGGTACTAAATAGTGATGTAAGGCCAGAATATTTTATAATACTTTGTTTAAATCAACCTTTTTATTGCAACAAATTGTTTCGATAAGCATTTGATGTTCTATAAATGTTTCCATTAATACTAATTATGTAAAGGGGTATTGTAATAAAGAAATACAGAGGTTAACAAGTATAAATTTAATAGTCTATGATTCACAGTGGAATATGCACTCAAATTTGCATATATTCTGGAAATTTTTCCCTACACTTCACCCTTGACCGCAAAATATACCCCACTTGAATTACCCCATAGACTTTTCAATTTATGGTGTGGTCGGCCATTTATCATAGGGTCTTAATCACTGCATATTTTGTACATTCATTCCATCTTTCATTTCTTCATTTATTATTTTCAGGCAACATGCAAAAAAATGAATACAAAAGTAAACTTAATTAAATTTGAGAGGCTCTCCCAACAATAAAACAGGTCAAAACTTGTCAATGTGATTTATATTTTTATTTTCGTATGCAAATAAATAACCAATGACATATTGATCAATCAGTCAAGCTTAATATTTTTATCAAAATTCATAAATATACAAAGTATAAAAAATATTATATTGATAAAGTTATGCAGTACATTAAAAATGGGATCAAAGTATCTTACATATTGTTTTATCTTTTCCTAATTATGGCATAAACGTTGCACATTATATTTAGATGTGATAATGGTTATAGTGTTTTTATGGACAATGGTTTTTGTATTGAATGAATAAGTAACAAGGACATACTTCTATTTCTTCCCTGTGTTGATAGTGGTTTGTGTGCGGCCATGTTATTACTTGAATAACCACTACAGAGAAGTCCTTCGCTGACATTGGCTTTACGACTGACCTTGAAAGCTACTTGACCTTGAAGGACACCTGGTATGCCTTTAGTTACCTCTCCTATGTTGAAGCACTCAGGTTGCTGCACTACATGTTATACTTGCCAAATGCTATGCACTATTCGTGAATCTCACACATTAGGATCAATTCTTGCAGCTATTTCACAGTTACTCACACTCATAAACCTTAAGAGTTCAACTGTAGACAAGGAGGAGGAGGGGGGGGGGGAGACTGAACCAAGGGCCCCTTAGAGCCTCGGTCAGGATCAAAGGATTAATTACCTGGTGGGGACATGAGGAGAGATTTTATGGTTTAGAATGGCCCAAAATTGGGTTTTTAGACCACAATATTAGGGATTGCAAATTAATATTTTTAGATAACAGGGGTCGATGTTTGGTAGGATGTGAAAGTAGGTAGTGTTAGTGCTAAATTGGCAACATGACTTAAACACTACCTTGTAAGTCTTAGTAATAATTTCGATCTTTTAGTAGGGTCTTGAATGAACAATAATCATCTTAATTTATGTTCATTGTCACACACAACTTTATCAACCTTTAGTGGCATAGTGGCTGAATGCTATTTGGAGAGTCAAGCCCTTGGCCCTCAGCCCTAACACCATATCTTTCCTTCCGGGTGGTCCCTTATTTAACAATCCAGCACTCTGCAACAACTACATTTTCTCACACTCAGACCTCATGACAAGTCAGTTCACTGCAGTCGTCATCAACATCATCATTTTCACCATCATGATGATCGTCTTCACTGACGTCCACCACAACCATGGTTGTCGTCTTCATTATAAGTATTACCAATTTATGTCATCATGTTGTGCACACTGTCAGTATCTCAAGTCCGTATGCTGAATTTGTGCTGAATTTGAGTGTTGTTCTATGTGCACATACACTCATATCATAGTGTTTTTATTTGCACATTCTCTGCACGCATCAGAAAGTACATTTTACTACACTGGTAAGTAGAACGTCATGCAGTTTGCACACAGTATATAACATATAACAGTATATAACTTGTCCCCCTTCCCCAACCTAAATGTAATTTTATTATAATGCTTGCTTGTCTTTGCTTGTTTTTCTGACATTATTTGAATGCTTTAAGGTTATATATTTCAACATTTTATTTTTTTGCTGTCAAAGGTAGTGGAAGCCCTTTGTTTTTTTGTTGAATTGTGTGTCTCTTTAGTATATAGCATTTAATAAAAAGTATATGCAGTACATCTGTTTTGGTCAGACTATTAATATTTTAGTATTTATATATACTTTGTAATGCTTTACTTTTAATTTACAAATAATTAAATATTTTATTATTTTACTTGTTCTATATAACTTATTTTGTATACTCTTACATTATTCAATTTTACTATTTACTTTTCAATCTTCTGCTAAATGATTATGTCTAAAGTTGAAGAAACCCTTTGTATTCTCTTTTCAATTTTATTTTTTAAGTATAAAGTTTAATATATAGATTGTCAGACTATTGCAAAATATTTATATACTTTGTAATGGTTTACTTTAGTTCATTAGTTCAGTTTGCCTATTAAGATCTATACACACTTGTGACAAACACCTGTGATTTGCCGATATATGGGTAGGCCTATGACATGGCATCATGATGCCCATATTTGGAAAGGTTATGATGATCATCATGCCCAAATATGGGTAATTCATATATAATTCTCTTTTATACGTCCACACTGATGAGCATCTGAAGAACCTATAATATCTCTTGAAGCAAGAAGGGAGTTAATCTTTGTTGTTAATGCTTTTGAAATTTTTAATGATTTAGCTTTTATTTTCCTGAAGACTACTTTTCATTTCATTTTTTTCTTCCCTTTGATGTCAGACATCTAAATTCTTTCAGGCTTTTAAGTCTTCCATATTTTCTTTGTTCCAGAGATTCAATGAGTTATGTCCCCTTAACTTTGAGCATTTGCAATTTAATTGTCTTGTCATTCTTATTGCTCTTTGTTGTAATTATTTTCAGTACTGTATTATCATTTGCAACTATGTACTTCCCGCAAATTGGAATTTGTTATAAACTCCTTAATTTTTACTGTCCTTTTAACCGTGTAATTTTAAAATATAAGAATGATGTTTATACATGCAAATTAATGGTTGGAAAACAGTCTTGATACAACTATATCCAAATCAATTTTGGCAGCTTGGCTAGCATAGGCATTTCGCAATTCAGAAAATCAAAAATATGTAAACTTACTGATGTAAATTCACGCAATTTTAAGAATTATATTTGAATATATTGGCATCAATAAGTTCAGGTATGCAGAGTTTCTATTCCAAACGAAATGACAATACAGTCAAAAGCAGAGCCAGTAAGGGCACCATCTAGAGTTGTATACTTTGTTTGATTACAAGCTGTGGCCTAAATTGTGAACATATCCACTTACTGTAGTAATTTGCTATAGAGTCCCTGAGTTTCGGTAATAATTCAAAGCGTGTTTTTGATTCATGATATCACAAAATTTAAAATTTTTAAAAATTAAAGAAAAAAAAAATTAAAAATTAAAATTAAGTTTTCAAAATTAAAAATTAAATTAAAGTTGATTCCTGTTTTATTGTTTCTAGGAATTATTCTTGCTGTTGTCTTTGCATTGCTGCTCCTCATCACGGTGTGTCTATGCAAACAAATAAGAATAGCTGTTGGTATGATTCAAGAAGCAAGCAAGCAAGTATCTCCTCTTTACTAACTCAGGAACCTTGTCTGTAGCCACATGCTCATCTGTAGGACAGAGTGGCGGACATAGGAATTTGAAATAGAGGGAGGCCCAGGGATGGAATTTTACAGATGGAGCATCCACAATACTTCAGCCCCACTTAGTTCCTTGAGAGCTCTGGCGTACAGGACTGCCTGAAAGTCGCGCCAGCTAATTCAAATTTCACTTACCAGGCTTGGAATGTTCCTAAGGCAGATTTTGAATGTGATTGTAATGTGAGTGCACTTCAGAGCTATTTATTAAACTTTTTCCAAAGAGATGTCTGTGATTTACTTTTGTTGATATTACGTTGTTATTTCATTATAATTCTGATATATTATTTTTGTATCTTGTTTTTTATAATCTTTTTTTTATAATCTTGTATTTATTCATTGAAGGAATAAGAATCTGAATATATTTTTTTGTGATATTGTGATCTTTAGGCTGATTGATTTTTGCTAATGAAAATCATATGTTGTATTTTAGTTACATGATATTTTACTTTTATATTCTGAAAACTATTGTACCCAGGGCCCCAAGGGAGACCAGTCTACTTGACTGATTGGGCCACCCTGGTTAAAAATTGTGAATAAATAAATATTATAGTTTGTCATCACTATGATGGTAAATCAGGGGCAGATTTAGTGGGGCTGGCCCGGCCCCCTTTTTGGGAGGTAAAAAAAAGAAAAAAAAAAAGAAAGAAAAAAAAAAATGATAGTCCAGAATGCCTCAAATGTTATGTTCGGCCGTCTAGAACACATAAATTTCACGGGGGCATGCCGGACCCCCTAGGACAGTGTTGTGTACACATTTTGCACATAAGCTCATTGCAAAATTTCTAGGCATATCTGCAACAACACTTGCAGAAGGTTAACATTCAAAACGGAGATGCTTCATTAAAGCCCTGTCTAAACTATCAAAATTTATTTGACAAAAAAATGTGACATGATACCACGACCATATATAGGCACATCATGACTATATATGGGCATACAGTTTTTTTGTCATAGAAAATTTGATAGTATGTGCAAAGCTTGTGTTAAGGGAAACTTAGTCTTAGTCAAAGTCAATATTTATTTTATGTACCAAGAAAGAAACCACTAGTATCTATGTCATGATTATAGCTAGAAAAACATTAAGACCTATAGTTTGCTAATATAGCAACCCCATTTCCCCCAGAAGCCCACAAGTAAATTTAGTATTGTGTAAAATACAAATTCCAGAAAAAAACTGTTTCTTTAAATTCAAATGTACAATTCATTTATTGTTTGTATGCTCTGCATGACTGTAACCACTCTGTTTTCCTTCACAACTTTAGACCAACTATTCTCTGGCAGATGATACTGCCCTTAATCTAACTGGCTTTGAGAACGGCTCCATCAACTGCGAGTTCCAATCATACGCAGTGCCCGACCTAGCCCTGTACTTGCAGGCCTACAACCAGTTTGGTCTATTTTGGCTCATGTACTTTATCATAACCTTGTGTCAGGTGACTCTTGCTGGTGCCTTCGCTTCCTGGTATTGGACGTTTCAGAAGAAGGACACGCCCACATTTGCTGTGACTGCCTCATTCTGGCGGGCCATTAGGTAAGAAGAAAAAAAATGATGTCATAGATAACATGAAAAGAAGATGCGTTTTTTAAACTAGGGAATCAATGTTGTTGATTTGATTTAAAATGGATGACATGTTTTTTCATAGTTGTACATGAATTAATTTAAAACTAGGAAGTTACTGCTTAAAGAATTTTAAACTCTACCAATCATTCCAAATATAATTCACAATTTTAAAATATTGTATATGAAGTTAAGCAAGTTTTGAGAAAACAATTAACAACAACTTTATTGATTGTTTCATTTGCAGGTATCACTTGGGATCCATTGCATTTGATTCATTGATCATTGCCATCATCAAGATGATACATGTCATGCTGGAGTATCTTGAAAGAAAGTTGAAAGGTGAGAAACCCTTGTAGACTTTGTTATTGGTAACTCTCATGAGTAGTGATTAGTAGCTCTCGAAAAAAGATTTAAATTGTTGGTAGTTCTCACCAGATAGTTGACTTAAGCTATTGATGGTTCTTACCAGAAAGCAGACTGAGTGGTATATAATTTTCACACTGCAATGAACCACTGCTTCTCGGAGCCGATGACTGAGGCAAAAGCTCCAAAAGCATGATTTCATGGTAATCTGTTAAAATTATATGAATTTTTTTTATCTCAGAAAATGTATTTTTTTCTGCCTTACTTGGGAAGGGAAGGCCCTCCTTGACAGTGGATGCTGACTGGATTTTGGCTCCTCAGTCTGTTCCCTCTCCTGACACTACTGCTCTATTTTTTGTGAGAAATAAAAGTTTTTATTGAAATTAACACACAAGGTCAATGTTTCCATTGACCTCGAGAAAACAACAGTACTTCTAGTTCTCTTCCTTTAATTGGATAATTATATGTTTATAGAAATCTTATGATAAATAATAACTCTAGTAATGTGTACTAAATCTTTGAAGTATTCATTATGCAAACTTATATTTTCCATATTTACTCTGAAAAGGTAATGTGTAATATGCAATATTTTTGTTTCTTATTAGGCCAAGAAAATGATGTTGTCAAGTATATCATCAAGTGTTTGAAATGCTGTTTCTGGTGCTTAGAAAAGTTCATGAAATTCCTAAATAAAAATGCATACATCATGGTAAGATTGTCTTGGATTTTCGTCCTTTAGCAACAAGTAAAATAGGATATGCATGAAGAGTTCTTGCTCTTTATTTTTCTTCTCGCATACATTCTAATAAAATAATACAAAAAAATACAAAATTGGAATATTTTTGTTTTTCCTCAGATTGCTGTGTATGGTAAGAATTTCTGTATATCAGCAAAGAAAGCTTTTTTCCTACTGATGCGAAATATTTTGAGGTAAATGTTTTTATAACTACCATGTTATCGATCTTAATCGTCTTTGTTATTATTACCATTATCATAATCATCATCAACTCCATCATTTTTATGGTTATTACTATATATTGTTTTTGGTCTTTAATTTTTATGTAAATGAGGAAAGTGGTGATTAGATGGCTAAGTTGTCACAGAGGCCAGTGTTGTATAAATGAGCTCTAAAATATGGGGACTTAAAAATGGCATAGAAATTATTTTTGCCCATTGTAAATATCTGATTAATTGTGTTTCAAAGTCTGTTCTGGAATTGTCAACATACCAGTTAATATTTCACATCTTTTTGGTAGTTAATTCCATCCAGAAATGTATGTATGAACATCTTTGGAAGGCAATTACACAACACCATAGTTATCTTAAAGACTCACCTCTTTAACTAATTATCCCATTTTTATTCTTATTTTATTTATTGTTGCATTATTTATTTATGATTCCAAACTTTGCCACTGCTTCTTTTGATTTGTTTACTTGTTCTGTGCTTGGGTTAGGCAATGATCACGGCTGCTTGTGGGTTGTGAGGTGCCTAAATATGTGGGGTGCCGCGCTTCGTATCTGCAAAGAAAGGCGCTGTACAAATGTTCTGATTGGATTGGATTGGATCTTGACTTGGGGTGTGCTGTACCTTTACTCCCCAGTAACCAAGGCTAGAAATGCTAATGAATAACCCATCATTATGTAGATTCTGAAAATACTAATAACTAAAATTTGGTTTTTGCCACAACTTTCCATGACTTCTAATGAGTTATTAATTTATTATTTATAATTTGTGTTTGTATTTTTTTTTCAGAGTGTTTGTAGTGAATCAATTGACCGATTTTTTGATATTTCTCGGAGTCATGTTTGTTGTGTGCCTGTGTTCTGTTGCTTCCTTTTATTATTTTACCAATAGCATCACTATAGTATCGGAATATGTCCCAGCTCCTGAACTCAATTACTATTGGTTGCCAATTATAGTAAGTTGCTTTACGCATTTTTGCATTTATACATTAGAAACCCTATCCTGTTGTAAAAGTTGATCGAAGTACATTGGGTCATTGACCTTAATAAGTGCTGCAACTAAAAGAATTCTTACATTCAATATAGTTTTCACTTTCTAGTGTTTGATAGATTTCAAGTTCGAAACATTGAGTTCAGTTGTTGGTATACAATTGTTGCAATATATTTGATGAAAAATTCTTAAAGTTGAAAAGTAATTAACTATTTTTTGGAATTGTATTTTTTATAAATTTTTAAAATTTATACTCATTCATATGATGATAAAAATGTAAACTATGTTTCTTTTTAAACAATAACTTTTATATTATTTCTTTACATTATTATACAATAGAACAAAATATGTACAGAAAATTAAAACTAAGTTGCATACAGTAGTGACCATTATTATTAAACATAAATAGTATTCTATTCTTCCATTGATATAAAATTCTTCTCTTTTTTTCCCTCCTCTAGGTTTATTTTTACTATTCTATTTATCTTCCTCAGTCTATTTATGTAGTAAAATTTTTTCTATCACATCTTTTTCCATTTCAGACAATTGGAGTGGGATCATACGTAATCGCTAAAGGATTCTTTAGTGTTTATGACATGGCTGTAGACACATTGTTCCTCTGTTTCTGTGAGTGTCATTCGTTTTTTGAATAATGGTATTATTAATATGTTATTGGCTGATAAAAACAAGATTATATTGTGATTATGATTAAAATGAGGCGAGACTTTTTTTACTCCTTGTTTTGTGTACTTATTTTGTTAAAGATCATCGAAGGGCGGAATAAAAATAAAATTTTGTTTTCTTATTTAACAAATAGTTTTGCCAAAAACATCCAGACAAAGGAGAAAATAAAAATAAAATTTTATTAGGAATGTAAAATGGGGTGGTTAAATGCTTCAAATTTATATAATTTAGAAGAAATATACATATCTTATCTTTGGAGATTTCAAGGCAGCGAAGGGCGTAATAAAAATAAAGAAAAACTTAACTTCCACTTTTTCGTGGTGACGGGTGCGCTAATTGGCCAAAAATAAAATTTAATTTTTATTCAAAATCATCAATATTTGCAGTCAGGGGGTTCGCCAAACAAGGTATAAAAAAAGTCTTGCCAGATAAAGTTTAAACTTAGCAAGTATCAGGATTCTCCTCATTTATCTATTTTGTAAATACTTACTTAGATCAACCAACTATTACCATTACTTTTTTATATGAACGTCCCTACACCTACAAAGAAAATAGAACCACCCATCACAAGGTATTGCATAACCATGCCCATATGCTAATGCTTGTCTTCATACCTTTGTCATGGATCATGATATAGCATACATTTACCAAAGTTCTTTAAAGCGTCACATAAAATGTGATGGAACACAGAGGTGAACACGTTCAACCTTTTTTTATACAATTTGATGATATGTGATATGACGTCATCGTACCCATATTTGTCACATAAAATTTGATAATGTAGACAAAGCTTAAGTCTAGCATAGATTTCATTAGAAAACTACAGTAATGGTATTCTTTTTTGGATTCTTATGATCTGAATTCAGCAATAAGAAACAGAAAGTTTTGGAATAGGGACAAGCAAATGGGTGTGGGCATAGTCATGTGGAGTCCTGGAATGGACAATTCTATCTTATTTCGTAGGTGTGTTCTTTTAAAACAGACAATTGCAATAATTGATTTATTTAGGCAAGTATCTCATAAAGTAGCAGTAGATCCCAGGTGGATATACTTGTATATTTTCTGCTCCAAAGCCTGTATGCAGCTAGTGTTGGGCTAGTGTGTTTTTCCCCCTACTCCAACAAAAACAAATAGGTCATATTAGATTGTATAAAAATGAAAAAAAAAAAAACAATGATGTTATACATCTGTATATTTTTAAATTAATTTTTCTGATTTTTTTTCTCTAAAGTGGAGGACCTTGAGCGACATGATGGTTCTGCCGAAAAGCCTTACTACATGTCCAAGAATCTGATGAAGATTGTTGGCAAGAAAAACAAAAAGGTGAAGAAGACACAGCAATAGAGATGCGATGGAAGCTAGAAAAATTTAAAATGACTATGAGAACCATTCCATGAGAACCTCAGTGCCTGTAATAGTATACAAATATTTACTGGGTTGAAGGGCATGGTTCAAATTATAGCCCTTGGTGATTTTGCAGCTGTACTACTGTATGTCCCGAGATGAAGTCGAGGGACATACTTTACTACAGTATGTCCCGAGATGAAGTCGAGGGACATACAGTAGTACAGCTGCAAAATCACCAAGGGCTATAATTTGAATCCCAGTAAACATTTGTTTTTATATACCACCACATATATTCCCTGTAATTGAGTTGTGAAGAAGCCTAGGCCTAGTACGTAGGCCTACTAAAACTTCGCTAGCACTTCATCGAGGCCTGCATTTAATAACTCAGTAAACCACAGTTTGTGACTTCAAGATGATCCGGACAGCATACTTAACTTGTTTTTTCACTGGCTATTAAACTCACTACACTTGCCTAAAACTATTGCCTGGCTTTTAACCAATCAAATGCCTGGAATCTATGTAGTTGGTATATACTACTAAATATAAACATTTTTTTGTGAGTTTTTAATTGCTTGCTTCACTGTTTCAGAATTAAGCATGATGTTTTTTGTACCTTTGTATCTTTGAAATGGATATTTTCAAGTTTATAAACCATATTAATCATAGAATGTCAATAATTAGAGAAACAAAAATCATAAATGTGTAAAGTGATACTCAAAATTTTTTTTAATTGTTAATGTTTATCACATGTAGAGATAACAAGGAATTATTCCATACACCAATATACATTTATATATCGAAACATTAATTAGATGTGTACATACAATGCAAACTTTACTTAACTAACGTTCAACCAAGCTTGTAAAATTATTTGTTTGGTTCATTAAGAATGAGTATAAATATAAAGTACATATATTAAAGATTTAATGTCTATGGGGCTGGAGTACTGAAAATATAATAAAAAAATATTTTTAATGGCAAATTAACACTACACTTAATAATAAATTAACACTTCACTTAATAATACTATTTCTATAAAGTATTCTTTCTATAGACTGTATATTTATTTTATTTATTTAACTTTCGTTATACTGGATGGCACACTCAATGCAAAGGCATTGATTTTCGTTGTGGTCCAGTTACATAACATAAAATACAAAAATTGAAAAATTGAAAAGAAAAATTTAGGAAAATTAAACAAAGGACTTAATTACAAAAATAGATGACTTAATTACAAAAATAAAGGACTTAATCACAAAAATAGAGGAGAGACCAATTAATTCAGAGCATTTTTAAATGTGTATTGGTTAAAATTCTGGAAATCCCTAGTTATATTGCTAAGTAGTTGGTTCCACTTCATGGATGCACGGTAATGAAAAGTTCGTTTTCCTTGACATATGTTCCATTGTGGAACTACAAGATGATTATTTGTCTGGCTTCTAGTGTTTTTATCATTTTCAAGGAAAACAAACATATTAATTAGGTAGGAGGGAGCAAGTCCTTGAAGGCATTTAAAAGTTAAAAATAATAATTGGTCTCTCCATCTATTTTTCAGATTTTGCCAGTTCAACAAACTTAAAATATCATTAATTGGTGTTCTAATATCACATGATGAAAGTAATATTCTTTCTAAGGTGTTTGACAGAACTTGTAATCTATTAGATAATTGGATGGAACAGTTTGACCATACACAAGAACAATAATCAAATAAAGGTAAAACAATAGTTTTAGCTAACATCTTAAGAATAAATTGATATCTGATACGACGCATGACACCAATCCTTTTAGAAACTTTACAAGATAAGCTTTCAATGTGTTTGCTCCATGTAAGCTGCGGGTCAAAAGTAACACCCAAGTATTTAAAAAAATCAACTCTGTCAATGGAGTCATTATTATAGCTCACAGTAACATTATTAAATTTTGAAATATTCTGTGTTGTTCCAAAATCATAAATTTAGTCTTTTTAATATTTAGTGTCGGGTGATTTTCATTGAACCAATTAACTATTTTGTCAAGATTATGATTTTATTCATTCTGGAGTATTATTGAGTCGGATGAACTACACAGCAGAGTAGTGTCATCGGCGTACATAACAGATTTACAAGAAACACTGTTTGGGAGAGAGTTCACATAAATTATAAAGAGTAGTGGTCCCAATACAAATACTTGCGGGATACCAATACAAACATTTTTACAATCAGACTTATCAGAATTAATACAAACAACTTGTGACTGATTTCTTAAATATGAATTAAACCACTCTAAGCCAATATCACTAATATCATATTTTCTGAGTTTATCAATTAAAATTACGTGATTGACTGTGTCAAAGGCCTTTTTCAGGTCAAGAAAAAGGGCAGCAGTTACATTACCTTTGTCAGTGTTTTTAAGAATATAATCAGTGACATCAAGCAAAGTGGTATGAGTAGAGTGGTTTTTCTTAAACCCAGACTGAGATTCATTTAGGATATTATTTTCAGTAAAGTAGGTATATAATTGATCATGAACTGCCCGTTCAAGGATCTTAGATATCATAGGTAATACAGAGATTGGCCTATAATTATTTGGGTCACTCTTATCACCATCTTTTAAAAATGGGGGTGACTTTTGCACATTTCCACTCATCAGGAAATGAAGATGTTGATAATGATAGATTGAAAATATAAAATAGAGATTCACAAATTATAGGTGCAGTATGTTTGAGTAGTTTACAATCAATTCCATCAAGACCTTTAGCTTTACTGGAAGAAAATTTACAAATTTCATCGAAAACAAACTCTTTTGTGATAAAATCAAATTCAAACTTATCTAAAATGTTATGATCAATTCGTGAATCATTATTCTCGTATACAGGGAAGTTAGAAGAAAGATTTATTCCAACTGAAGTAAAGTGGCTATTGAAAATATTAGCAGTTTCTTTATCATTTGTTGTGTATTCATCTTTTACTGTTGAAGTGGCTGATAAATAATTGAAAGAGTTTGCACAATAAAACGTTTGTATATTAGCAAAAAAAGGAAGTAAAATTTTTCCTTCCAAATCATAAATTGATATTTTATTTTATTTTTTAAAGGTTTCCTTAGATTTCACTAAGATAGTATGTCTTTATTAAAATAAAATAGGATCTATAAGGTTGGATCTATAAAGAGAATTTCTATATTTTGATACCTATTTTGACTAGTGTTTATCCTTTCTAATAATATATTTCTTAAAGTTTGATACCATATGTTCAAATTTTATATAGAGCACCTTGCCATCTTACTATCTTTTTATACATTTTCTTTTAGTGTTTAATTTGTGATAATATGTGCATCTATGCGAATGTGTAAATTTGTTTTGACTGTATATAGTGGAAAATGAGGATTTTTTAGATTTATCTTTGTCACATGTTTTACTTTATCAAAGTCATCTTTGTATTGACTTTATTATATAAATGCCTTGACATTTAGTATTGATAAATTTTTGCACATTTCCAGTATTTAATCTATTAATATCATTATGTTGATTAATTAAAAATATTGATTAATATATAGTTTTAATGTACAGTACTTATTTATTACTATTTTTATGGATTTTAATTCAGGTATCTATCAAAAGCTATGTTAGAAAAGACACCTTTGGTAAACATCAACAATGCAGATAATTGTAATTGCATTGGCCAGCCATTGGGTATAAGTACTATGTTGAAGTTGTATGCATCAGGGAAAATAGAGAATTGAACCTGTTTATACTAATTAGCTAATAACATTAGTATAGTATTTATTGAAAGTATTTCAAATAAGAAAAATATGTAAAAGAACAAATAATTGTGATGGTGGAAGAACTGTTATAGCTCACTATATGAATGAATGAGAGTAGCTTGATAAACATAAAATAGATTCTTAAAAAGAATTGTTTATTTTAACAAGTGAGGGATGTATGAAAATTAATTCTTCTTAAATTATTATCTCCATTACTTTGTGCATGCTTCCAGAATACCAGTACTCCTCCCAACTGGTAGAGAACTGTAGAATTCAAAGATTATATTACATAAATCTACCATGGAGGAAATATATTAAGAAAATATCTTAATATATTTCCTCCATGGATCTACTAATTATCAACGGCTGATTCATATGTCAAAGGACTTGAAGTACAGTTGAATTTAAAACTTGTACCTTTACTTTGAAAATCCAAAATTAATGCACTGTTAAGATGATGTTTAAAGAATTGGTTAGTTAATTTGTTTTAATTATCTATAATTATTTTTTATATGAAATAAATGATAATTCATTCACTTTAAAATAGGAATGTTCCCATACAGATCTCACCTATACCTTAACATGATGTGTATGTAAACGTTCCTAAACAGTTTTGTAGGCCTGGAAAAAAATATTTGTTAGCCTCCAATGCCACGTTATTTTTACACTATTATAATTATTATTATATTATTATTATTATTACAGTAGTATATTTAGTGGTTTGGAGCAAGCAAAAATATCAAATTTGATTACCGGTATGCATTAAATCACAGGTACTGTAGGTGGGTGTGTGGGTGGTACCCTATGTGTGCGGCCCGCCAAGCAACATTGGCTAGAAAACAGCTGGTTTTTTACGGCCTGACACCAATCATGTAAAAAGTAGTATTAAAACTGGGAATAAAGTGGTGTAAAAGCAGTGCTTTGAGGTTTTTAGAAGCGCACTAGAAAAATCAATGTTTGGGTGCGGCCCTTGGTGTTAAATCAGAAATTCACTTTGCCCTCCGACCGATTTTTATGCCCAGCATAAAATTGTGATGTGTAACAAAAAACAAATAAAAAAAAATAATTTTTAACATAAAATGCCTCTGGGAAAATAATGGTCAATGCCTCCAACTGCCGGTCGCACACACCCCTGTAGATTTGTTAGAAATGTTCAGACATATTAGGTTAAGGTATAGATAAGATTGATTTAGTTTTAAAAATATCTGCTGAGAAAGCATATTTGCATTCATCTGATTGGTCAGTCATATTTAACAGTAACAAATCTTTGGGCTACAATAAACTTAAGCTGTGCAACGTAGGCACTCATTTTTAGAAGGTGGGCTGTGTTGCTCAGGGGCATTCAGTCCCCTATGCGTCTCCTGTAAGCAAGCCAATCAATGGCCCAACAATTTGTGTTTGCATGTTTTTACTACTTTATTATGAATTTTCTCCCTGAAGTCAGCTGGCTTTGCATATCATCACACTTAAGGCGAGACTTTTTATACCTTGTTTTGCAAAACTTATTATTTTAAAGATCGTCAAAGGAGGGCAGGAAGAAAATAAAAATAAAATTTTGTTTCCTTTAATCTTCCATTTTTTCATGGTGGCGGGTGCATCAATTGGCCAGAAATCATTGTTATTGATGGGTGGTAGATTTTTTAAACAGAGTATAAAAAAGTCTCACCAAACATTGCTTTAATTTAACGGAGTTGAAAGCTATTTCATTACTGTACATAGAATGAGTGATAATTCTTTATTATTATTTGGTGCTGGGTATCATAACATTAATAAAAGTAATATCTTCAGTAATGAATGTTTATGATTTTATTATATTAATATATTATCATTTAATATTAAAGAACATAATATAATGTAAATTATGTGTAAGTAGATTTTCTTTCAACTGTTTGAATAGGTTAGATGTGCATTTTGTTTTTATTGATACACTTCAAAATCGAGGCTCATTTATTGGGCAAAATTAATATTAAAACTGATTTGTATTACGATTTTTAATTGTAGGGTTTTTTTTGTTTGCATACTGCCCAAACATATATTGCACTTCATCATCATTACTTGGTTATATCATCTTCATCATTTACACAGATAAAAATGTATTGAACAATGATTGTGATTTGTGTTTAGTATATACTGTTAATATTGTTACATTATGTATTTGTATTCCATTTCTGTTAAAAAATTGAAGACAGCAGTTGCAAAATTAAATCTCATCTGATTATCTCCATTATAATCGTGAGTCATCACTGTACTGTATTTGAACCATCATAGCATTATTTCAGTATTGTTACCATGGGTGGTGCCAGATGGAGAGTACTGGCCCGCATTGCAGAGAAAAAATAATTTGTCGGGGTAAAGATTTAAAAAAAAAAGTACAATTATATAAGCACTTGAAACCAGTAAATTCAAAGACTCCACTTTTCCTCTCATCAGGTGCCACCCCTGATTGTTACTTAACAACATGCACTCTCATCATCATATAAATAGCACAATGCACATCTTTATCATTATCATAATCATCTTAAAAAAAACATACATGAACAAATTTTATGATTTAAGGCATAAACTCTTTAATTCGGTATAAAGATATAAAGTATAGACAAATTATTATATTTCATTCAACTAAAAAACATCAGTAATATACAAGCGGCAAGTACCGTAAATGCTTTAATAAGCGCCACACCAAATCTGATCATCCAGAAAAAGAGTTGCAGCGCTTCTTTGAGCATTTATGGTACTCCAGCTTCTCACTTGGGCATGGATCCAGAGCTTTAACCTATCGCACAGAGGGTCCTCAGGGCCAAGATCCAAACTTTAAGGCTCAGAGAGTACCAGAGGGTTTTAAAACATATATTACGCTATTTACAGCAAAGAAATATGATCAACTAAATAGGTGCGAGTTAAAACTTGCATGATTATCAAGTGCTGCAGTTACTTTAGGCCTACTTCAATTTTTATCTGTCACCCTGACCTATGAGATGATGAACTGTGCAAAGGTCTGGATCCATGCCTGCATATTTTATTATTCCTTGCCTTGACCCATGAACATCTACATTTGTAGTTTCTGTGGAGGAAGGGAAGGAAATTTGTCTTTTTTTTTTGTATTCACTTTTTGATATATGTAGAGCCCAAATGCCTACAGTTTTTACAATACAAAATACAAATATTTTAAAATGAAAAAAAAAAGCACTTTTTGATATATGTAGAGCCCAAATGCCTACAGTTTTTACAAAACAAAATACAAATATTTTAAAATGAAAAAAAAAAAAAGCACCGCTGTTTTAAAACTTTATATTCTATTAAAAAAAGTAAAAAAATATGAACATTGTATTAGCTCTATTTAAAATAACGTTAGCAGAATCAGAGATTCTGTACAACATGGGTATTCAACCTTTTCAAGTTAGGACACACTGCCCATCAATTTGGCCCAGGGGCGGGCTGACATAAGCATTTTTGGCGGGTCGGATCTGGTCTGTGGTCAAGGGGTTGAATACCAGGGCTGTACAGACAATACCGCAAAGTAATTGTGTTATCTTACTTTAGATACAAACAAAGTCATGCACATTACATCTTTTATAAACAAAATGATAAATTACTAAAAGCAACAATACTGTTGAAAATGTTAATGTAGCCTTAATGTAGCTTGTATTGTAAGTAATAAATTAAGTTTAATATTTTCTAATACTAACATTAATGACAGTTTGCAAAATTGGTCTATACTATTGTTTAAAGAAGCGTTTGCATAGGCTACACCCATTGCTTAACAATGGGCTGAAAACTTCAAAGAAGCTTTCTTTGTTTTTGTAGGTAGCTTTGATCAGTAGGGTAAGAATGCTTTTAAAAAGAAAACAGAAAAACCCCATAATTACATTGATAATAGTGTAACTAACTACACTAAATCAAAGGTTAATGATGATGCTCACAAAGTCATGTATTTCAAACTTCCATTTATTGGTAAATATTCTGATGATATTAAATACAAGATACAAAATATTGTAACTAAACATTGCACCGGATTGAAATTAAACATCCTTTTCACCACTACAAAAATAAAAAACATGTTCAGTATCAAGGACGCAATCCCTAGTAATCTTCGCTCAACGTTCAACTCAAACATTTAAGCTTACAACTTTTCAATTAGCATACAGCAAGGTGTTCTATACACCTTGCATATGATTATCTAGAACGATCGTTACGTTACCTTAATTGGTAACAGTTTGTTTTCACTAATTAATATTCATTCATTCTTTGTATAAATACTCTTAGTTAAGAATGACAAGATTTTTCTTTCCGTTTATTTCGCTTTTCAGTTTGTACTGATGATGGGTGAGAGAGAACACCCGAAACATGTTTACAATTAAATCCTTAGTTCTTTTCTTAAAATGTGTTGTATTTTTCATCAATTTGCGTCCGTTTGGTTCCATCATCAAGGATTTTAGTTCGGAAGACCTGCCAATTTGTTTGCTTAGGAAGTATGAGGATATATCCCTACGCTTCATTAAAGCTGAATTGGATTATTATTTTTTACACAATTGTAAAACGTTTTGCGTTTTCCCAAAATTCAATTATGATATAGTACCTAAAATGGTGGCATTACAATATATTTCTTTATTATAAAAACTATTGTGTATTGGAAGGCTATTTCTTTGACACACTGTCAGTGGTCAATTATTGAAAAATGCCTTCTAACTCCAACGAGTTGGTTCACGTCCACAATGGCTGCATTTTGGTCTTCTATAATTGCAGTCTCTTTGAACTTGAAAAAGAAAAATTGTTATAATTAGGGTGGATGAAACAGAAATTAATGAATTCTTTTTATGTACAACATATTTCTTTTTATCAAAAGTACAAACCAACAGTGTTCTTTATAAGATCCAATGAAAAATCGTAATGTTCAAATAGTTCTTATCTTGAGTTTTTTAATAATGTATACAATGCACACATTATTTGCGGTATTCAATTAAATTCAAACAAGAAATATTTCCTATAAAAAAAATTCCGCAACATCTTTAACTTATGACTGGTTTGTGTTTTCAAATTTAATACTAATTAATGCATACTTGAGAATGACCTACATCATCTTCAATGCATTTTTTTAATGATATGACACATTCTTATTCTTTATTGCCAGAAACACAACAACAACAAACACAAACAGTCAACTCAGGGAGTAGGCAGGAACCAAAAAGTGAACTAAATCACTGTAACAAAGTTAAGATTCCAAACTCCCTGAGTAGCAATACATAACAATAAATATATAGATTTAAAAATATAAATAAACTCTTAGAGTCAAGAAATCGAAGAATTAAAACAAAGCGGAATGGCTATAACATAAGACATAAGCGAGCGCAAAAAAGTAGGAAAGGAATCAAGGATAAGGGAATTTTTAGTTAACTCATAAACATAATAGCCTACAAATAAAATCTGTTTATGACTGGTGTAAAAAAAGTTATTACATTGCAGTCACAGGATTAAAATAATAAAAAAAAGACATACTAAACAGTACTCCAAATTACAAATGTAGAAATGGAGGCCTAACTACCATATAAACTTTCTTTAGCTTGTGTTCTTACCATTGTTGTTGTTGTTGTTAATAATAATAATAATAATGATAATAATATTATTTTTTACTATTTTATATTTATTTGTATTCAATTTTTAAAAATATATTTTATCGTTTTTATTATTCTGCTGACTGGGTTGGACGAATTATAGAAAAATTCCATCATAGCCAATTTCTATGCTTCAGCTTTAGACTGGCTAGCCTCCCCCCTTCACCTCCGCCACTAGAGGCCTACAATTGCTCTCAGTTTGTGTGGCTATTTTTCTTTTTGAATTGTCAATAATGGATTCATACAACAAAGAGCATATGCACTATCCTTCTTCAGTGCACAGCACCGTACCTTTCGAGACAATGCGACTTAGCCTTTTCTTGCCCACTACTTGGCTATTAATTGGTAGCTAACCAGAGACAGTGGCGTCACACTCGGGGGCCAGGGCCCCCAGGTACGAGGGGCTCCGACATTGTAGTTAAAAAAAAAGATTGACAACGTGGATCTTTAACAAAGAGCTTGGCTCTAACAGAAATATGCATTCCCATGAAAAAATGTGGATTCCTAACAGATTTCAGTTGTAAAAATACAACCCTAAAGTACAGTAGTAATGCATTTCTGGGTATCTAGGGAATAAACATTTTGGAGGATCCTCCCGCCCCCCCCCCCCAAAGAGAAGAAGTTTTTAGAACAAAAGTCTCATGCCTGCAAATTTTTTTAACCTTGGCATATACTGTATGAGCGCCAGGGCCCCACAAACTCTGTGACGCCACTGCCCAGAGAGGCCTAGCCTAGGTTGTTTCTGTGGTTATTTTTTTTAATCGGATTGACAGAGCCAAATAAACTGTAGTTTGCGATAATTAAATTACAATTCTCCCTGAAGATTACACGATGCACAGTAGGGCTTCGATAGCCAAGGCTTTTCGACCAGAATTCTCATTATTTTCAATTTTTAATGCCATGCATGATCGCGTTAGCTTGAGTTGCGCATGCTAAATTTTTTGCATAAAAAAGTTTCATTTCCCCATTTCTATTTCATACCCTCTTTGCAGATGCTGTTTGGTTCCTGAGAAGTCTTTTTGGTAACTGGGCATGCTCAACATGGCTCGACAACATCACTACTCAGCCAGCTCACTGGCTGTCTAGCCTTTCCGGGCACATGCTCATTGTTGTTTATACATATTTCACGGATGTTTTTTTGTAACAGCGCTTGCGCACTGATTAGTTCGGAATTCCCATTTCTTCGTAGTAAAAGCTACCGCTACCTACACTTTCTTAATGACTGTTCCCTCTTGATCGTAGCACCCTAAATGTGCGGCGCAAAAAAAAATAGGCTATGCTCTGGAATACTAGATTATTAGGATTTAAGCAAAAATACTCACTAGACCATTGTCATCCAACATCTGCTTGATGGTCTTGTCCGGTTTCCAGAAACACAGAAATGATGTTCCGTCATGAAACACATGTATATAATCTGGTGATTGAAGATAATAATAATAATAATAATAATAATAATATGATAATTTATACCGCGTCATTTGCCAAGGGATACAAGGCGCTGATGATGTTATTATTAACCCTGGTCATTGGATCCATAATCAAACCAGAACAAAGTGCAACCTCCTCCACTCCCTAGTCCAGCTTGCAATATAATGCAAATACAGACTAATAAGTTCAATCATCCTAACAGGTACCCATCAAAGGGAGACAAACGTAGGTAAAGTATATTGCCCAAGGACACAAGCGAAACACACAGCGAAGGTTCAAACATCAGACCTTAATGTTGAGAAACTGAAACAACTGCTGTGCCAACTGCATGCAAGATTAAAATGTTTCAAGTAAACTTGCACTTGTGTACATTATTTTATGAATTATATATTAAAGGATATGATCTAAACATTAAGCACCTAAAAAAGGAGAGCATAACCAAAAAACTAAGTGTAAGGGGCCCTGGAACTTCAACCAGTGACATTCCATCTGTCACAGGCCAATGACCTTAGCCACAGAAGTCCAGTTGGCCTGATAAAGCATCCTGGATCAGATGAGAAAATTGCCACATAAATAGTCTACAGTAGAAATGAGTTTTTCTGTTTGTAGTGTATGCATTTGGTTTCTACTGTAGCACTGTACTACAGTATGTGGGTGATGATAAAAAGCTGGAATACGCTAGCCCTAAACATGAACTTGACTTGTTTAGCAGTTTTTGTGTGTTAATTGCAGTATAACTACAAAATAATTATAACGTGCAGTCATATGCTTAAAAAAAAAAGTAAAGTATGTATAACATTGGTTAAAAAAGAAAAAGTTATACTCTGATCAAACACACTTACCTGAACGTTTTGGTATTAACAAGAATATTTGCCTTAAACCTACTTCTAAGTTAAGGTGGACAATGTCTCCATGTTCATTCTTCACATAGTAGTCAGTTGCTCGAACCTGGAAAAAAAAACCAGAAAAAAGATTGGAGGTCAGCTTAGAAAGCTTTTAGGGAGCAATTTTTTACAGTAAGCCATCTCGTTTAGCTGAGACCATTTTGTACTTTAAGGACAGAAATGTAGTACAGTTATATCTTAGCAAACACTAGTCCTGCAAAAAAAAAGGGTCAAATGTTAAATGAAGAGGCATTTCCGATCATTTGTAGAGGAAATGTTGCATTAGCTCAAATAAAACATTCATGCTCTGGACAACTTGAAAAAGAAAGCTAAAACTTTGCTTTGCATATTTGAACTAATTTGCATGAGGGGCCTGAGACCGAGGTGTGATTTCTGGAATTTCATTTCCTCATGTATTTACATGTGTTGAAATAAAATAAAGAAAAATCTTTGTTTCTATAAAAAAATATCTACTCAACAAGTATATGGTTGCAGTCTTTCTATTTTTTTTCCATATCACAACCATATAATTGGTCAAATTCTGAGAAAAAATTGTTGACATATCTGTTTATTAGTACAATTTTAAAAAGAAAGAAAACAAAAACTATCAAATGTTAGAAAAAAAACATTGTTTTTTGTAGCAGAAATGGGCCTAGGTCACTCATAGAAAAAACGTCCAAACAACAAACCTGACGTAAGCCCAGTTGATTAAAGTAAAAACCCAATTGATTCTTTAAAATCATACTCACTCCTGCCTGATCCAGCATATCAGCGACTCTCTGTACTTGATTCCACACAGTTTCCAAGTAGTGATCATTTTGTACATTATATAAGATCACATATCCTTATAGAAGAGAAATTCAACAATTAATGGCACTAGCGAACAATTGTAAAACAAAGTCCTCACTAGCCCTATCCAGACTATCAAATTTTATTTGACAAAAAAAAAATACTGTTGTACTCCCATATAGTCATGATGTGCCCATATAGGAGAGGTTGGCACAACTGTTGTGCCTTGGACTCCCATCCTTGAGGTCAGGGGTTCGAAACTTTCGCTTGCTTTTGCCATGTATGTTATCCAGTGCCCAGGGGTGATAATGTTCAGCATTTTGATCATTCAATTTGGAATTGGCGTATATAAATATTTGAGTGGTCAAGTCACATGTGGGAGAGGAAAAACATAAACCATTCAGTGTTTCTCATTAGCATATGTGCTGCAGTGGCATGGATCTCAATACAGTAACAAACTTCCTCTGAAAGCCGTCTATTGCAGAGGAACCAACACTATTGCCTTGTTTTCCAAAAATTGGTACCCCTGATTTCTGTAATCAACATTTGCATATGCAACAGTACACAAGGTTATGCACAGAAAACAATATAGTTCCAATAGTTTTGCAATGAGCTTCTGGCAATGATAAACCCACAACAGTTATATAAAACATGCAACAGTGATGTACATTAAATTATTCTGTATCGTGAGTATTTTGTTTTCTTGTCAAAATGCATATAAGAAAATAGAGGTACAGTAATACCATAAAACTATTTTCTATATGGTAATATTGGATCAACTTGTCATTAAATTTCTTTCCAGTGTTATACTGTTAAACAACTGGAAGACCTTTTCTCAAACAGAATGACAATGGGGCTATGTCTTGCACCCAGGACCAATACTCTGTATGTACATAAAACAATGTTTAAACATACCTTCCTTGACTGGCTCTGGTAAAGGATCAATGAATACACTGAAATTGAAAAGCAAAAGATTAATATTTTTTGTAACGATCATGTTAACAAAAAAGGTTCTCTAGGCCTAGAAAGTGCATTCTCTTCCTTACGACCTCCGCTAGCTTCGATCTGTATGCTTACAAAGAGCCTCGAGCATACAATATATATCAACCACAAATGATTAATCATGACCCATGAAATAACAGTTAGGCCTACTGTATTGTAAACATGAAAAATATAATTGTGTTTCATTACAATACAAAAAAAAACATTATACTACCGAGGCATTTTGTTATTCCAATCCGTGAAAGAAATATATACTGTAGGTCAAATGTGAAAGCACCCATTGCGCATGCGACCAAAATGCTGTTTGCTTACGTTTCACTGGAGTGAACAGCATCGCCATTATGCAAATTAAATGTAGGCTACCTCAATCGTTACTTTTGTGAATCATTTTTATGGCATTTTCTATGGGATAGAGCAACAGAATCAATACAAGCTGCTACGTGATCAGAACCAGCCAAAATATTTTTTGTATTATGTTTTTGTACTACTGATCAATCTTCTGTTAAACTACTAAATCATTACTCAGTCTTCTTTACCTTTACTTTATTTGTAATTTTTCTCTTACAGGTGGGGTAAAAATTGAAAAAAGAATTGTACATCCTCCCTTATTTTAATGCTGGAAAAGGAACAATAAAGAAGACGCTTACTCAAATCTCATTGGGGAGTGCTGCCCACCCCCCCCCCAAATCGGGGAGAAAAAAAAATTAAATGTATTTTCTACATATTAGACTCTAAAATCAATTAAATAAGCCCTTGAAACCCCTAAATTGTTAAAATTTTCGGGGGCTTCAGCCCCTGGACCATTTTCGAAACCTTTTAATCAAAGCTCGACCACGCCCACATTGCTTTCATCAGGGAAATCGGCCCCCTCGTTGGGGAAATCGGCCCCCTCGTTGGGGACCTCGGCCCCCCGTCGGGCAAATCCTGGTGCCTCCCCTGGCTTAATTATTCAAAATTTGTTTGTTTAATACTAACATTTCCTCTTACCATTTTCATTTTACTTGACATGGTAGGCCCGTAATGTGTAAAAAAGTATGATTTTTTGAATTTTGTCTAGCCCATTTATTCTAATTTGCCCAAATGGTTAACCTGACAGTTAAATCAATGATTTTGCTCTTGTGCATCTTTAGGATACAAACTGCTTAACATATCAACCACAGCAGTCGGGGAATGAGTGGGGGAAGAATGTTCATATTCCCTTCATATGTTCACTTCGCATTTTTTTTTTTTTTAAATCTTTCTCTAGTTGTACTCTGCGCTTTTGATCATTTATTTGAAAATAGCACATTATAAATATTTCATTATTATTTATTGTACACTAGCGCCAAAACCACCACTATGGTTTTGCCCTCGGACCCCCGTAGGACACTTTACTGTTCTCCAGACTCTTGCCATATTATAGGGGCAGTGTACAAAATATATCTTTACTCTTTATCATATTGCTTTATAATACGAATCCAATCCAAATGACACCAACATTCCTTTTCCCTATATACTCTAGGCTTGTCATACATATTGAGATCGTATGTGATCGATGATCATTTAAAATATACGATATATAGACTCACCTTGGTTAGCTTTTTTAGTAGGTTTCAAATCATAATGTACATTGTACTTGCGTATATAGTATAAGTAATCAGTATATCCAAGACTTATAAAAGTAAACCATGAATCCAGTGCTGTTTAGTGTGAACATATTAATGCACATGATCGATACCCACTTACACCACACAAAGCATACTAAGTCCAGTGAGAGCTTGATGTGCCTTTTCAAACATATGCGTCACTGAATCATCAATTATGCAAATCAGCAGAGCATACTTTAGTATAATGTGGGAGGTGCTAGACTATCACAACAATCAGCAGTTACCTAGAAATAATGACAATGCCGAATAAATACAATGCCGTAGCCAGCAGCCAGCTATTGGGACAGTTAGGACAGTCTCTCACAATTTCCTAATGAGTCCACAAAGAATTGGTCCACATTTTTCAAAATGGGTCCAAATTATGCAGTTTTATGCATAAATGAGTACATTTTTTGAAAAATGGGTCCATATTTCTCATATTTAGCCTGAAATGGGTAAAATTATGAAAAGAAAATGGGTCCACAATCATATTTGAACTTGCGCGTAAAGTGGGTCCACCCTGATATTATCCTGCACTGTTTGAAAATCCTGTCTACGGCACTGCTTGAATATACCATTTTAGCAATGTTTTTCTACATATTCTATCATTTACTACTTGCTAACCTTTAATTTACCTTAGCAATTTTAAATTGAATCAATTCCAGATAATTTTGTTTCATTCTTTCATTCATCACTAGAAAATAATTAACAATAGTTGATATAATATTCATGTTTAAATACTTTCAAGGAAATTATACAGTGACGTGTTGATGCTTTTTTTGTATAGTACTAGGCTATTTAATTTTTGCCTATCTTTTCTTTCGAAAATTTTTTTTTCCTATTTATTATTAAACATTGTTTTTTATTTCAAAATTTGTCACAAAAATAAAACTTGCTTTGAATTGATATTATTCAATCCTTTTTCTAGATTTTTGGATACCAATTACATCAAGAATGTCCAGTTACTATTTTTGTTCATTTGTGTTGTTTCGAGTGTGCTGGTATGTATATAAAATACATAAAAAATTGTCCAAATTAAACCAGTCATGTCAACAGGTTTGAAAACTCTTAGAGTCAGCTCATTCAGGATAGGGGACTTCCCCTCAATGTCCAATTTCCACTAACACTACTGAGCTTATGTGACAATGTAACACTATCATGTATTAAATAAAAAGCAAGCCGTCTGATAGAATTTGCATGCAAGATTTAAAATAAACTTCATTTTACCATGATGCAGTATATTAGTATTAATTTTTTTGCAAATAAAAAGTCTAATATTTAGAAAGAAAAAACAAACCTTATTCCCAGTTTGTAATTTAAAACTGATGGCACAATTATTTTAACAAGTTCTCGTAATCTCGAAAGCTCCAATGAGGGGAGTACAATAGGGTGTTAGCCCTAACGGCCGCCCATTACAAAAAGATCTACAGTATCAATCGATCAAACAATCAATCAGCTGAGTGTTTCTAGAGCTCTTTCAAAATTACACAGGAACTATGGCTTATTGGTCTAGAAGCATGTATGTAGCTTAGAGAGTGAGAGGTACCTAGTTCAATTCCCAGATAAGCATACTATACTTTTCTATGAAAAAAGCAGTCAATCACCTGGGCATTTCTAGAACTCAATATTCGAGCTACAAAAGCAAGCAAATAAAATTTTCACTGGATTGGCTTGTACATTATATGTTGTAAAACCCAGTACCATATGATACTGAATCAACAAATCAAATGACAAAAATTTTATTTAGGTGTATAAAAAGCCCATCATTCATTCTCATTTCATTTCGTCTTTTATTCTTTTAAACAAGAACAACCTAGACAGGATTCCCAACAGCGAACTGAATCAAGCTATAAAAGGGTCTCAAAGAACACATACAATACAAACATACCAACAATACAAAAGGGCACACAATCAGATTGTTGTATGATAGTCTGTTCCATCCAACTCCATTTAACAAAAAAAAAATGAGAATATTTATTCCATTTGGGAAACATTTTTTATATCACAAAGTAATCATATCAAATACTGTATTGAATTTTGAAGAGTTTATTGGTCCTGTTTAACACAAGGTAGTAGAATTAAGCACCATTCATATGTGGTTACAGAAATGATGACTGGTCATATATTTCAACAAATTATCTATGACTTCACCACATTAACAATTACAAATATTAACTAAATTAGTAATACCGGCAGTTTATTAGCTCACACAAGACAGCAGGGGTCCCAAGTCGAGAAAGTAAAATTCCTGGATATTTTGTTGTACAGGACAGGAAAGGGTTTGCGATGCGTTTACCAGCTAAAATGCATGTATCGCCTTATCGCCTTGTTCAATATAAAAACAGACTTGGACAGGTTTTGGTCACCGTTAATACCATATTGGTGCCTAGAATGTACAATAAATTTTGTGTTTGCCAGATTTAATGCATAAGAATTGAGAATTTACCTTAGCATAAGCTCTAATTGAGAAAATCTTTTAAAATCAATAAACAATTCAAATTCAGGGAAAAAATGTGGAATTTCCGGGAGACGACCAAAATTGCTGGAGACTCCAGGGCAATCCGGACGACTTGGGAGCCCTGAGTTAGTAAACTGCACGTTTTATAGGTGGTTACAGAAATGATGACTGGTCATATATATATTTTAACAAATTTTTATGTATGATCTCATAAGGCAAGACTTTTTTATACCTTGTTTTGCAAAAAAATTTTTTCTTAAGATCATCAGAGAAGGGTTGAAAAAAAAAAAAAACAATATAAAATTTTGTTTTCTCATTTAGCAGATGATTTTGCCAAAAACATCCAGACAGAGGAGAAAATAAAATAAATATTTTATTTCTGAATGTAAACAGTGTAGAATTGGTATGGTTAAATGCTTTAATTTTATATATTAATGAAGAAATAAGCAGCGGCGGAGTACCAAAAAAACACCAAAAAACTTAAATTAATAAATATTCTGCAGCATCTAGTGGTTACACTGCAGTGCTATAACTTAACAATTAATTTTGTATAGTTCGTACAGAACATACAAAATCAATGAGGACAGATTCCTTGTGGCAATCAGTTAAGCAGGAAAATCCAACCTGGATGGATTTAATTCAGTCTCATACTGCAAATCATGAGCACCCAAAGCTAGAGCAACAGGTCAACCAGTACATACAGTCATAAAGTAATTTAAAGCCTATTACAGATTATTGTACCTAAAATGAAATTACTGTTGTCTCACAATGTTCCTGACAATATAGCAATTTTCTAATACCTGATAGACAAAATAACAACATGATTCGCATTCATGATTTTATGCAATATACAGTGCTAGAGAAAATCTCATCCCAATTGCTACATCATGTTCATGTGAAAATTTGTTTTATACTAGTTAGCACTTAACAGCACTTTCAATTTGCACATTTCATATAATTATAATAGCATTATGAACAATTAGAACCAAGTTGCACCATTTATATCAAAATCTTCATATAAAAATTGTATTTCGTAATTTGGTAATTATTTTGTATTAACGAAGAAAATCAACAGCACAAATCTACAGCACACAACAATTCTAAACATTTACGTTAAATAATACCCTAATATAATATTATACTAAGAGAGATTCTACAGACATCATCTTATCTATGTTCAGCATGTACACTCAGCTAAAGTTTTGAACATGTTTTTATCTGCGTGTTTGACCAATAAATCGAAATTGAATTGAATCTATCACTCGATGAAATTACAGGAAAGTAAACTTGATGGTTTTTGATGGCATATGAATTTACCACAGGGGCAAGCTTCGATCTTTACCTGAAAAAAAAAAAACCTATTTTATGAGGTTTTTCAACATTCAGTTTATATTGTGTTCTGAAATGATTCTATTGGTTTAAATCACTCTGCAATGTTAACTTATGCGCATTACACTGGGACTTTAACCAGGACATTTTGCATACAAGGCAAACATCATAACCACTTGATCCATGTGCCAGTTTTTTATATATTTGATATATGTACGATTGCTGCTTACCACCATTTGAGATCTCAAAGTATATCAGATTTCCAACCTCAGTGTGTAGCTCAACTTTGGAGGAAGTATGGTCAAAAACCTGTAATTGTGCATAGTCAGCTTCTTGCAGCTAGGAGAAAACAAAAAGAAGAAATTAGAGTGCATACTTTAGTTTTTATTTCAGCCAAAATAAGCAGTCCATTATACTAAATAAGCATTATTCAAACAGAATTACAGATTATTTGTTGATTAAACAATCTAACAGATATTTTAATGACAAATTTTGTTTCTTCTTATTATGTATGGCCTTGCACGGCCTTGATGGAAAACATCCATGGGTGATTCAAGTGTCTCCGTGTTTAAATAATGTATATTATTATTATTATTATTATTATCATTATTAATACAGTATACGTACAGGCAAATAATCAAGAAAGATCTGTTTGACAGAAATTAATGGTTTCCTAGGAACAAGGTAGTAACCTTTACCATGAACTATCCGGATGCGTTGCTCCGGGATAACTATATGAAAATAAAACAAATTATTAATACTGTAAAATACAAAAGTTGAAAGGGAAAAAAAATGTCACTTCACATTGGTCTTGCACTTATCCTAAATATTCAGTAGATATTCTTTTCAATGCTAAATTTCCTTTTCCTTTGTGAATACAGGATAAAACATTTTGGGGACATGTTAACCTAATATAAAGAAATAAATATATTGAGGAAAGTACTTAAAAATTTAACAAACTTTATGTAAAAATTTCGATGAAATTAATAAACAGAAAAAGTAAACTTGATGGTGTAACATAAATTTACCACAGGGGCAAGCTTGGATCCTTACCTGAAAAACACAAAACAATTTTATCAGATAGAGGTTTTGCAACATGCAGTTTATACTGTGTTCTGAAATGATTCTATTGCCTTAAATCACTTTGCAATGTTAACTTCAGTGTCTTACACTGGGACAAGGCAAATGTCATAACCACTTGATGCAAATGTAATTTTTCTTATTTAATATTTGATATTATGTGAGATTGCTGCTTACCGCCATTTGAGATCTCAAAGTATATTCGGTTTCCAACCTGAGTGTGTAGCTCAACGTTGGAGGAAGTATGGTCAAAAACCTCTAATTGTGCATAGTCAGCTTCATGCAGCTAGGAGAAAACAAAAAGAAGAAATTAGAGTGCATACTTTAGTTTTTATTTCAGCCAAAATAAGCAGTCCATATACTAAACAAGCATTATTCAAACAGAATTACCGATTATTTGTTGATTAAACAATCTAACAGATATTTTAATGACAAATTTTGTTTCTTCTTATTATGTATGGCCTTGCACGGCCTTGATGGAAAACATCCATGGGTGATTCAAGTGTCTCCGTGTTTAAATAAAGTATATTATTATTATTATTATTATTATTATTATTATTATCATTATTAATATAGTATACGTACAGGCAAATAATCAAGAAAGAGCTGTTTGACAGAAATTAATGGTTTCCTAGGAACCAGGTAGTAACCTTTACCATGAACTATCCGGATGCGTTGCTTCGGGATAACTATATGAAAATAAAACAAATTATTAATACTGTAAAATACAAAAGTTGAAAGGGAAAAAAAATGTCACTTCACATTGGTCTTGCACTTATCCTAAATATTCAGTAGATATTCTTTTCAATGCTAAATTTCCTTTTCCTTTGTGAATACAGGATAAAACATTTTGGGGACATGTTAACCTAATATAAAGAAATAAATATATTGAGGAAAGTACTTAAAAATTTAACAAACTTTATGTAAAAATTTCCATGAGCTTCTGTACACTTCTTAGGTGATTTGGGAATACAATATTTGTATTATTATACATGATGCAGAATAAATACCAGGGTTTACCAATCTCAACTTAGCAAATGTTTTAAGTTGATTTATCAAACCATCTTAGCAAAATCTTAGCTTAAATATTGTCTCAGATGACAATCAACTTTTTAATTTTTACCAAATTTTTAATCTAAGCAATATTGATAAATTTGACTTAAGTTAAAAAATGGACTTGAGACGAATTTAAGCTGATTTCTTGTTTGATAAATCCAGCCCCAGTTCTTTTTGCTGAAAAAAAAAATGGTTTCATTTTTTTTCCCTGGCTCACATCTAAAGAAACCATTGTCAAGGGCGGATCCCTGTGTTCCCCTCCCCCAACCCAGTCCCGCCGAAAAATGAAAATGAGGGAGAAAAAATTGAGAAGAGTTAAAGGGAGGAAAGAGGGAAAAAAGGAAGTGTATCCATGAGTTCAGTGGCAGACCCAGCAGTGGGCGAAAGGAGAGCTCGATTATTTTACCACTAATTTTGAATTTTCTATTGATTAACGACGAACAATGATGTGCCATATAATCATAATTTGCTTTGCATAGTTCCCATCGGGAAGAAGTCAATAATTTTGTTGAGGAGGAACACTGCTTTGAAAAATCATTTTTACCATTTGAGAGTGCCAATTCCAGTCGCACAGAGAGAGTCTATTCTTAAAATTTGCTCACCTCAGCCCCAACCATGGTGGGTCTGAGGTGGGTGTGCTCACAATAAAAACTTGTGAACATTTTTTAAGTTTGTCAAATTCAGTTGGTCTCATATATTTTTATATCATTGCAAAGTACTTCAACTTTAAGCATAAAAAATTAAAAATTTTACCTTCGTGTGAAGAAGAACACGGAACTGGAAACAACATTTGTCCTGGCACCCAAACAGCACTAAAATATTAATAAATACATTGTTTGGTGCTGGTCAGTTAATTTTGTAAAGCTTTTCCTTTTTCAAGTTTTAATACTCTTCAATATAATATAATGCTTTTACATTTTTTCCTTGGTCATCCATACATTTATATGGTGGGGGAGGGGGCAGGGGAGACACTGTCTTAACTGCCATTTCTCAGCACCAGACAAGTGTATTCGTTTCCTTTCTTCGTGCCATCTAGGCCAAGTTTTTGCACAGATTTGCCTTTTCTCCAAATATTAAATTATTATTATTTCAGTTCTCTGTAATGAATTCTAGGCTGGAGTACAGTAGGCCTATCAGATGCAGTTATTTATCCTTGAAGAATATATTTCCTGCTTTGATAGATTTTGCTGTTTCGGTGACAGTAATTTACACGTCATCAGAATGAAGTGTGAGCAATGAGTTGAGACCTACCAGTAGGCCCTACACTCTAGTTATCACATAATTTCAACAAAATTTATTTTATTAGAAATAAATTAGGGTAAACTGCAGATTTAAAATCATAAAGTTGCCCAGGTATTAGCCAACCACCTATTTCTGAGTAATTTTCATGGCATAATTCTCCATTTTGCTACAGAAATTGTTTGTGTGGGTAGCTAGCCATGCATAAGAATACCTTCGAGTGGGGAAGCCATTTTGTTTTGTCTGGTCTCCCTGAAATTCTACATAACGGTGAAAACCATAAAATAAGTCTATAATATAAGTTTGCAACATGTTACAATTAGGTATAAAATGCCTATATTGATATTTTAAATTAGGCAAATGGATAGTTTTACTCTGTATGAATTTTTTACTTACACCATTGTCTGGCTGTTTCGACGAAAAACTTCATACCCGGATGAAACACTGATGACGTCAAAATTTGGCACTTGGCCATTGATGGCGCTGTCGAAGTTTAGCATTTATCGAGCAATACCCAATCGATGACGTAAAATGTATAACACTATAGTAGTAAATTTGCATCCTCTTTAAATTATACTTTAAAAGGCCAAGTACCTGTTTTACTAAATTCAACACAAAAATATTGCAGAGTAGGCCTATTGATATTGTGATGCTCAATAAATTCATCACTGATGACTGAACTTAAAGAAATAAACCATTTCAAAGATAGTTCAATAGAATTGCTGTCATTGAGTTTATAGTGAGAGTATAAGACCATGAAATTATAGATTTAAACTTCATTGTGTAATGTTGTAAGCCTACTGTAATTCTACCAGGGAGCCCCTACATCAAATCATGGAGGAAATATACTAATATATTTCCTCCAAGGTCAAATTAACCAACATACCTACAATGTTTTCATTGACTGAAGGAAACAAAATTAAACAGAATCCAAACATTTTGAAAAAGTATTCTTATTGATGTTCTCCATTTAAATGAAAGTTATGATTGTTATGCTTAGAGCTTAATGTAATCAATTCAGACGCAAGTTTTGATGTGTGACTATACTTCTTAAACAAGGTTGTGGGCTGAAAGGGGTTCCCCATGCTTTACATGCATGAGTCACAGATAATCACAGATATTTCTGGTTTAGATGTATTTAATGAGGTGGATTTAACAGCAATGTATCAAAGGAGTATTGCCATGGGGGAATGGTAAGGGGTATAGTTTAAGTGAGGTGCTCAAGGATTAAATGAATGGTATTTGTCAAGAAAATAAGATGATATGAGTGATTGAGAGTAATTTTTTTGCTCAGCAAATTTCCAGTGTGTGTGTAACCTGGTGGGGGAGTGTACAGTAAATGAAAGTTGTGAGGGAATTGAAAAATTAAAAGCAGGGTGCTAGCTGGAAAAATAAAGTGATAATGAGGTGATTTTTAACTATTTGAGTGTTATTATTTTACAGAGTGTATTTATAGTTGGGGAACCTTAGGGCACTGGGAATCATGCATTGTCCAAGATAAGCAGTGCAGGTTGTTGCCAAATTCAACAGATTTAAAACATCTTTCTACTTTGGAATTTATAAGTGCACAATAAAATGTGCCTTGTGGCTAGATGTTTAAAAACTTTGAAAATTCTCATACACTTTTTGAGTCCTGACACCTGGATCTCTCTAAGAAACCATTTGAAATTTGATAGTAGTATTATTATTATTAAATAATAATAATAAATACTTTATTTCAACACTGTAAGGCTACGGTCACACTAGCGTCTCAAGCCTGGCTTGACTCACCGCGAGTGAGATTTCAAGCCAGGCTCGAAAATCTGGGTCAGCCACACTAGTTTGATTGACCTCCAAATTATGAAAGTCGAAACAGCAGCTGTAGAGAGAGAGTTTGGCCAACTCTGGGATTCGATATACGCACGTGTGATTGGGTGGATCGCAATCAAAGATTTTACACCAGACATGCCCGAACCACTCTTCTTCAACTGATCTTTTATCAGCTTGTATTGGGCTCGCAATGCCTTCACTTTTGTTTGAATTTGGGCCGTCGTTCAATCTGTCAGCAAGCACGGCAAAAATTCCCGTTTTGTTGTTTGTTTTTTTATTTTCTATCCGGTCTCTCAGCTCGGGTTGGTCCCACAAATCTACCAGGTCAGCAGTTTCCTGGTCGCTCCAAATCAATCGCATTATTATTAATTAAAATTTGAATTAACTTTTATGAAAAGTAATGACTGCGTCTTGATTGAACACACATGAAGAAGTCGCGGGTTTTTTTATTCAAGAACTTGTAAATGCAATGGCATCATTGACTGTGATTGGTCGACAGCCGACGAGAAAATGTCAATCTCGGTCACGCCAGGATCAATCCAGGGTCAATATGGGTGCTGAGCCGGGATCGAGATAATTAGATTGAGATCGAGGTCACGCGAGACGCGAGTCGGTGCAGATGCGGTCACATTACGAAAATCTCACCCGCAGTGAGTCAAGCCAGGCTTGAAACTCTAGTGTGACCGTAGCCCAAAACTTAATTCACTCAAGGGTGTTTTTCATCAAGGTCGTGCAAGGCCGTATAAATAATAGTGTAAAAATTAGAAAAATAAATGCAAACCCAATGTAGTATTAAATATCAACAGAAGGTTAAGAAACACTATACATAAATACTAAAAATCATCATTATTATTGTTATTATTATATTACTCTGTTGCACTGGAGTTGTCTTGACTGTACAAACTTACCTTAAAAGTCTGCTACTGTATCTCAATATTATTTTGAACCGGGTCCACAACTACCTGTTACAGAGCTGAGAAGTGTGATGATCATTTGACTTTTAAGCTGTCCAAAGATATCCATAATAAAAGTTTCACAATATATAAGTTTTTAAAAAAAGGCAGTGACTATTTTGTTACCATGAGTAGTGGCTCCAGAAATCTGTTGACAGGAGCCTAGACAGGGGGTCTAAAATAGGGGCTGATTAGAGCCCTGTCCCGGGGTCTGGAGTAAAAATCCCTAGCAGGGTTAGTAGAGTTGGCTTAAATTAAATATGCCCAAAAAAATTGTCCTTTTAGACTACAAACAATAATGTATAGGCCTAAGCCTAAATATTGGCATTCCAAAAAATTTTATTTTAATTCATTTTTGGCCAATGTCTCAACATGGCATCGGACACTGGGACACAGTATACATCCATATCCAGTGGTGGCACCAGTGGGGAGAGAGAGTATTGTCCCCTGCGTCAGACAGGCTTGGACCCCCTGTCATCCAACACACGACTAGGTCATTGGATAAAAAATAAAAAAATGATGATTGGCCTATCAAAAATAATGTTTTGACTGCCAATCCATTGTGGTCTAAAGCACATTTTGGACCATGCTAAGCCATAAAAACTCTCACTGTGAACACCTGGGAAGATTTGTTTCAGGCAGTCGACCGAGGCTTCGGCAGCCCCTCCGTCGGACATGTTGGACCACTTGTCGGCAAATTTCTGGAGCCACCATTGGGCATATTCATAATTCAATCTTGATGAGAGTAAATTTCTCCCAGCCCCTGCATGCTGTAACCACTACTGATTGTTACGCCAGATGAATGGATTGGTGATATTATTGTCCTAATCCATTCATCCAAAACTTCCTGGTCCAATCACAATTCAAAAGGAACTTATAATATTAGTGTATGTATCTCGATGATATTTCAATAGCACCCTGGATATGAGAGCATAATTGTTAACTGACCTGGACTGATCCACCAGAACGCCATCATCCAGGACCATTGACTTCTTCACAATGTTTTCGTCGACCAGCAGCATTGTCATATACATTTCTGTTTCTGTATTAAATATGTATATGGTAGATGATTTAATTTATTTTGCACATTTAAGAAATGATCATTACATTTTACAGATGTTTATTAATTTTACTTATTAGCACACAATATTAATAACCTAGGCTACTTACGTACAGTCAGTGACTAGCCTAGGTAGGTAGGGTAATTAAGCCTAGGCCTACCATTTTTTAGTACTGTATTAGACCAGAAAAACAACTCCCGGACCCTGGTCAGTTAGGCGCGTGTCGTCGTACTACACTACTAGTAAATACTAGCGAAAGGCCACCATTCACCCACAAAGTCATCCAGGCTACATACAGTACAGTAAGGATATGGCAGAATATGAATCATAATTTGAAAATAATTCACAAATTAGGCCTAGATTTCAACTCACTACATCGCCAAACACACGCCAACCGGTATAGGCTATAATTTGGAAGCCGCGCGAACGCTTTAAATGAGCTGACTGAGCCCTCAATAACTTATCTGATGATATAACACCAAGGCTAAAACAATCGTGTTGAATTTAGGGGGGAGGGGGTGGTAG